GCAAGCTTTCACTAGAGTACATATGTATGAATAGAATATGCAACATTTGTGTCGAGATTTGTTCAAAGAACTAATTTTTGTACATTTTTGTATGTACGTGAAAAAATGATAAAACGTAATTCATAAATTTTTTATTTACATTTAAAAATACGTTTAAACGAAAATAAATTTTGCTTGTATCTGTAACATCAAAGTAAACAAAAATTTGAAGAATGAAAAGTATTAGGCCTAACTAAGATAAATATAGCTAATAAAACAAATGACAGTTTTGAAGACCTCAGATACAAATCATTACAAGAAATAATGCCTAAAGATGGTTTCTATAAGGATTTTAAATGACCAGACATTAAAATTTCTTCAGTAGAAATAAACAAAGAAACAACAATAGATATCGGAAGTGAGATTGTATTTTTTAACAGTCTGGTAGCAATTTGATTTTTTTTTTTAACTACTAATAGTATACTATGAAAAAATATTAAATTTTTTTAATTATTCAAATTAAATACTTCAAAAGTTATGAATAAAAAACAGGTGGAGCAACGGAAAATACTCTGTTGTAGATTTTGTAATTATTTATGATGCATAAACGTGTTTAATAAAGATATTGTATTTTAATACAAATAAGACTAAATGTTTTAATTATTATTTCATACAGAGCGAGAAAGTAGCTTGGAGGTTGTTGAATTATTTTTAATTTTATAAGACGTTTTAGCTACTATGTCATTCATCCATTCTCAAGTATAAAACTTCACCTAATTTTAATTTTAAGTCATTAATTCAGCTCATCATTAAAGCTAAATTAAGAGTTAGTAAAATAACTTTTGATTAATTGTATAATAATCAGATTTTTCATCATCCTATATAGGAAAGAATGTTAAATTTTAATTCCAATGGGTTGATATAATTCAAAAGTGAAGGCTAAGTACATATTCAATTTTAAAAAATAAAAAATTTATTAAATTTAAAATGCTTATTTTTAGATACAATATTAGATGTTCATGGCTTTTTATATTTGAATAAATATTTAAATAGTTATTAATGATAGTTATATTTAAGTGACACAATTTAGGCACTTTTTAACAGTTGCAAAAGGTACATCTCGAAATTCTTTATCATTGGTTTTTGTTATTATTTTTTTTTTTCCTGCTGATTTATAATCAATGATGCTTTCTTCTTCTAAAATAATATAGAATGACTGTGAAATTCCAGCTGATTCTGGTTTTTTTTTCCATGTTTTTTTTTAAAATATTTAATCTTCTTTATAATTCTGTATTAAACTAGGTTCAAATGTTGAACACGAGGGGCCCGAGATTTTTGGTGCAGCCCACTAATATTAAACTTTGACTCTTCTACCAAATTTCTTACAACTGTCTCTTTGTAAAACGTAAGGTCACTTGGATTGTTTGACGACATTTTTAATAACTACGTCAGAATTCTTGTGTTTATGGTGCAATGCTATAAAAAACCTTTATTTTAGCTCGTTACTCTTTTTAACGTTACACAATATTCTCAGACAGCTATGAAAATTTATTCACCAGTACCTATTAGTAACTCTGAACTGGAAATAAAGTTTGTAAGAGCACGTAGTAGTAGTCTTGAGAACACGTGCACAAGAGACAAGAAGTATATTATCAATACGGTAAACGATAGGTAAGAGAAGGTGAACAACGGGAAAACGCTCCAGTTGTTGATGGGCGCGTCCCACTCAACGCAACGACAATGACGGGTAGAAAAATACACTGAAAAGACGATGCGCACATGCCCCCCCCCCTTATCCAAAATTGGTTTGATTTATTTAGGTTCGGTAGGTAGTCAAATAAGAGGTCTGAGCATGTAGTTTTCAATGCCAAGTAGCATATACATTGAGTCAACATTCCTGATCCAATCTGGCTTCCTGAACTATGTGACCTACAGATTTTCTTCAACAAGACTACTATTAATCTCGTGGCATGAACCCTGCAGGGATCAAAAAAGGCTTTAATTGAAGGTCTCGAGCTCATCTTTCAAAATAAGTATGAAAAAATTTTTTTGCCTCCTATAAAATTCAAAATAGCAGCAATAACAAGTGATCTATAGCTTTTTTTCAAGAAAACTACTACAAATCTTGTAGCATAAATCCTACAGGGGTCTAAAAAGACTCGAATAAAAAGTCTTGAGCTCTCCTATCAAAAGATGTAAAAAAAAATTTTGTAGTCTGACATAAAATCCAAAATGGTGGTAATAACACGTGACCTACAGATTTTTCAAAATAAAACTACTATTAGTCTTGTGGCATAAACCCTACATTCGTCTAAAAACGCTTTAATTAACAGTCTTCAGCTCTTCCATCAAAAAAAGTATAAAGAAAATTTTTTGTCTGGGTCACGTGTTTTGCCATGATTTTGGATTGTACAGCTAACAAGAAATACACAGCTGTTGAAATAAGAGCTCAAGACCTTTCATTTGAGCATTTGTAGATTCCTGTAGGGTTTATGCCACGAGACTTCTAGTAGCTTAATTGTAAAAAAGCTGTAGGTCACGTCTTTCTACCAACATTTTTGATTGTATAGCAGACAATAAATTTTTTTTACACATCTTTTGACAGAAGAGCTTAAGACTTTACATTTAAGCCTTTTAAAACCTCTGAAGAGTTTGTACCATTAATTTCTTGGTAGTTTGATAGAAACAAAAACACGCAGGTCACGTGTTTTTGCCGCCATTTGGACAAAAAATTTTCTTTCTGCTTTTTTTAATAGAAAAGCTAAAGACTTTCAATTAAACCCTTTTTAGACGAATGTAGGGTGTATGCCACAAGACTAATAGCAGTTTTATTGAAAAAAATCCGTAGGTCACGTGTTATTACTACCATTTTGGATTTTACGGCAGACAACAAAATTTTTTTTTTTACATTTTTTGATAGAAAACCTCAAGACTTATTATTCAAGCCATTTTAGACCCCTGTAGGGTTTAGGCTACGAGATTTATGGTGTTTTTTTTGAAAAAAAGCTATAGATCACGTATTTTTGCTGCCATTTTGAATTTTGTAGGAGGCAAAAAAATTTTTTTCATACTTATTTTGATAGATGAGCTCGAGACCTTCAATTAAAGCCTTTTTTGACCCCTTCAGGGTTCATGCCACGACATTAATAGTAGTTTTGTTAAAGAAAAAATTGTAGGTCACGTAGTTCAGGAAGCCAGATTGGATCAGGAATGTTGACTCAATGTATATGCTACTCGGCATTGAAAACTACATGCTCAGACCATTTTTTATGACTATCTATAGAACTTAAATAAATTAAACCAATTTTGGAGAAGGGGGGGGTCATTCATTTACAAAGAATATCTCATATACATATATATATAATCGTTGTAAGAGTGGCGTTGGCTCAGTGGTAAGCGTGCTTATTACTGATACAATGCAGTTCTAGGGGTCGTGGGTTCGATTCTCGGTGAATACAGATTTTTTCAAAAATTGTTTTCATCGAGAAAAGTTGCTATGTAATCCCGGCTGTTTCAGGGCGGGTTTTTCCGTGGAATTTTTCTTCAGAGTAATTCTAGGGTTTTTTCCTTGCCCCACAGGTTTTCGGGCCTGGGTGAATGCGAAAAAGTGTGAGGGCTATAGGTAGGGATTAGCGGACCCGATGCCAGGCGTCGGGCAGGGATCGCTGGCCTTACCGGCGAGGAGTGGCCCCTGAAACATGGAGCTTCACCGGGGATGCTAATCAGCCTGGATCCGATGCTTCGGCAGAGAGCGCCGGCTTAACCGGTGAGGAGTGAACGTCCTGGAATATGGAGTCCTCTCCGGGGAAAGGCTATACAGTGGTGAGTGGACCCGATGCACCATTGGTGCAGAGAGTGTCAGCTCAACTAGCAAGGTGTCCCTTCGGAGTTACTCATAATGTGCCCATGGCTTCAGGTAAGATATGGGGAAAAAGGTTGGGAAATGGGTGTGGGAATACATCCCCACACATAGGTGGTGGGTGGTTGGCCTCCACGACTAGGACAGTAGGCTGTCGTGGTAACCCGGTAGAAAAAAAAAAAAAAAAATTGTTGTACGCTCGAGAGCACGAATCTGGTACAAACGCCTCGCTCAGCAGACGTAAAGATAATCCCGCGACTGTAGATTTATCGCTTTACGCCTTACTAAGTGGACGTAAGCAACAAGTTTTTACTGTTGGGGATAACAAAAGATTATTTAAAGTACTTGTAGTTTAAAAAGGCTGAACGATATAACAGATAAAATGTTGTTGTAAAATTACAAATAAATCAACACGTTCAGCAGCTGAGACCACTTGATCATTTATTTCATAAATTTCAGTAATGATAATGAAGTTGTTGTTTCCTAAATAGAATCAGAAAAAGTCATATATTCTTTAATTCACACCTATGTTCCTCTACAAAGACTTTAATGGTTCTGCCATCTATTTATTTATCATCTAGCTATAGTTTGATGATCGGTTACTAGTGAAAGCATTTTATTTAAATACCATAACCGGCAGCTTCAGTATATACGTTTGTAAAAATTTCAGTTAATATTTAAATTATTAACCAAGCCTTATAAAAATTTTGTCACGTTAGAATTTATTTTAAAGTAACAAAAAACGCGTCAAATTAACTTTACGCTAACTCATTTGCTGGATTTCACATTTATTTTTCATACCTTTCAAATGACAAAAAATAAGGAGGAATAAACCTACACTTATAGACAGGGGATCATCACATACCCTGATAGCTCAAGTGGAAAAAATTTTATTTTGAATACAAGAGGCTTGAAGTTTAAAGCTCTTTCAGAGAGTTGGTAGAATTTTGAAATGACCTAACTTTAGAATTGTTTTAAGTATATACTTTGCACCTAATTTATACAAACAAGTGCTTTTGATTAAGGAACAATCACATTTGATGTTTTAAAATATGATGTTTTATAAAATATTTTTGATGTCTTGTTTACTTTTTTTTTTCCTTACAGTGAACATTATAAGAATATGTCCAAAAAAGCCTGCAGTAGGTAAATTTATTCTTACCTTATTATTCATGATGGCGCGCATGCAAAGTATGCAAACATGGATATCGTCCTTAGCTTCACCCATGTTTAGTCTTGCCACGTGCCTAGATCGTCGTTTCATACTTAGGCTATCTTTTAGTTCATGTACCGGTGGCCTGAGCCATTCATTATTCAGCGGCGATTTATCTACTGTAACTGCACCCTTAGCTGTGGTTAAATTATTATTCATCAGTTATTGTTCAACTAACTTTATTGCTAAAAAAGTCCGGTAAAAATTCGCTAAATTTTGTGTATTATCAACTTTTTTCTGTTACTATTCTCACTAAAGATATAAACAGTGTGTTTTATTCGAGATTTTTATAAAAAAAAAAAAAAAATTAAGCTTTGCGATTACGTATTAAAATGGTAAAAGAATCAATAAATTTTATTTCATTTTTGCTTCATATTTATTAACTAATCCAATATTATACAGTAATTATAATCATTCATGCATATAACAGATGGCAGAAATGCGAATACTTACAAGGTGACTGGATTTTTTCCTCAGAATTTTCTCTTGATTCAAGGCTCCTCTGATCTTGCCTCATCATTACCAACCTGAAGCTTAAGTAGTCAATCAGAATATCAAGGCCTTGATTTTCTTGGTCCAAAAATTCCCTGACCCATCTTTTGAAAAAAAAAAAAAAAAATTTCAATTGTCTCAAAAAATTTTCACAAAATACAACCTAATAATACATTGTTCATTAATCATCTGAATTTCACACATAGTTTAAATTTTCTTAAGGGTCGTTTTTGTAATAACTTTTCAGATTTAATGTGTACTTGTAACGACTATTTAATTAAATTATAATCAATTGTTATTTAAATACCTTTGTAAGACTACTAACAAAAAGTAAATTGTTTGGTTCAGTATACTCAAAAAAGTGTGAATTAGGCTTGGGACTGTGCTAATGTTTAGATTTTTAGGGATGACTATACTATACATGAAAGACTGAAGAAAAAGGTGAATACAAATATATATGTATGGTAAAAAAGTAAAAATTAAGTATTTTTTACCATAAAAGTTCAAAGCTGTTGTACTGTAATAAGCTAAAATATCTTTTTCATAATTTAAAGAAATATAGTTTCTTCCTTCTTCTAGGCAACCAAATCCTCACTCAACCAAATAAAATCAATGCGTATTCAGTAAATGAAGTTGTAAGTAATACATTACTAGTAGTACATACATTAGTATATTGAAATATACAATCGTTAAAAGTTAAGTACGGATGAGGTGGCCCAGAAACCAATCATAGTCCTTATCTCAAAGAATAGTAATCCAACAAATTAAATGCTTATTTATCTCATTTTGGAAGTTAGGTTTGCTCAAGAAATTGAGAAAATGGTATCAGCATTTTAAACAGTTTCAAACAACAACTTTTTTTGTGAATGAAATGAGAAAAATGAATTTTCTTACAAAGCGTACGTAGGTACGGATTTTCTACCTACTTCCAATAAAATATATAATGTATTTTTTTATACTTCTAATGGAAATACAAAGTTTTTCATGGTTTTGAGAAGCAAAAGTGCAGCACAATTTATCAGGTAAAATTGTATTGGTTGGTTGCTATCAGGAAAGGATTTTGGTATCCTTTGCGTAGAATTGTCTCCCAAGTTGAATACGAAGATTACAAACACACAAAGGATGGTAAAATACTTTCCATGAGCAGTGAATACAAACCTTTACCTGAATAAAATGTGGCTCTTTTACCCCTAAAAAGCAGGGGAAGAAGTCGTAGTTCTGCCGCAGGTGCAAGTGAAAAATTTGTTTAATACTGAGACCTGTTGTTAGATAAATATGAGGTTTATTTTTCATAAAATAAGCGTTCATAGGTTAATAAGAAAAAATTTAATGTCCAAGACAATTGTTCAAAGTGATTATGAGAGACTGTTCAAGTTTATGTACTTTTAGGTTTTTCTTACGTCCAGTGCTTGAACACATAAAGGACTGAAACCATCACTACTCAAAATTATTAATAATTGGAATCAGTCGTTAAGGCTTTTAAGTAAAATGGCAATGGTATTGTAAATCGAATGTTTTTTCATTTGAAAAATGTGTGTAAGTGTGTGCGCGCGCACGTGTGCAAATTAATAAAATATACCTTAATTTCTCTTTAATTAAGTTAGCATAGGCTGTTTAAGCATTCGGTAAAAAGTACGTTTCTGTACTGGAACTTACATACGCTGTTGATCTACTGTCTCAAAAATAATGGATGATGTGAAAACAACTTATTTCTTTTCATATAATATAGAAAATTGTTTAAAGATTGAGAAAACAAAACTTCTTAAAAAAAGTATTCTAAATACTTGTACTTTTATTTTACGAGTGTTGGTCAACAAAAAGCAAAAAAAGACTGCAGAATCAATATTCAACAGTCTGCATGGCTCTTGAACAACCTACGAATCGTTTTCAAAAGTTATTATGTAAATAATGCTTACTCGATGTGATTTGTGCGTAGAGAAATTTCTAAGTCCCGCAGCACCTGCGTCGATGTTGACTCCCCAAACAGCTTCCTTTTCTAAAATGAGTTGATGATTTATACATGTAATGTTTGTATGATAGGTGGTAATAAAAACGTGTTCAAAATTTTATCTTTATCGCAACGTCTATTCAACATCAATATTGAACTAAAACTATTTTCAGGATAAAAAAAACATATCAACTATTCGTGGTGCATATTCTGGGTAAAAAAGAGATTTCTAGTTTAACTCTAGATTGAAATGGTTTTTTTTATCAATATGCTTGAACTGATTACATGGGACTTTAAAAGAACTACCCACTGTGAATGTAAAAAAAATGATTCAATGTTACTCAACGAGCTAGTTAGTAGTCCAAAGACGAATAAATATTTGGTATACCTCCATTTAATAATGATAAGTTTATTCAGCTAAGATAAGCAAGTTCATGCATATTAAAATTATATGTTTTAGCAGCCACGGTAGCCTAGTAATTTAGGTTGTGATTTTAATGGCTCGGGAAGTTGGGAACACAGACTTCCGAGTTCGAGATCCGATCTTTATACATTTGGCTCATACTACTAAGAAATCCATAACTCATGTGCGTATTTCCAACCGCAGTCAGATGGTTTGGAAGCCATGTAAAATAAGGTTTCCATTGATGTGTAAGTGATTGATGTCACAATTAAATCTGAGGCGGTTTTTTAATCTGCCAATGACCATAGCATATACATGCAGAGTAATAGAGCAATGCAGAGCCTATTCAATATTGTTTTCAGAAATGGCTGTAAAATATAACAAAAAATTTATACATAAATGTATATATATAGATATAGATATATATATCTTCCTATATTATATAGTTACCTCGATGGGGAATTTCACACAACCTTCCTACAGCCCCCCCCCCACAAAATAAGGTAAAAACTGTACTTTGACATATCGCAGTTTTTTCTGAAACCCCCACTGCCCCCCGCGCATTTTTTCGTGACCCCCCACCGTCTGCCACACTTCTTTTGGAGACCGTGGATCACATCGTATTTATCGTATTTCTTAGACCTTGATGTGTATACAGACGTGCACGTGTCGTATATGGATTAGTCTATTATTTTTAATCTGCATCAATTTTACATTACTTTAAGACAAAACTGTTTTATCGCCACGATTTATCTCATCGTCAAAATAAATTTAAAGTCATAACTGAGTTATAGGGGGTCATTGCGCAAAGCATCATTATTATTATATATTGAATTATAAAGTTAACTGTTATATTATATAGTTAACTGTGTGGGGCATTCCAAGCAACGTTCTACCATATAAAACCATTTATATTGGAAGTTTTTAAATTATTTAGTCATTCAAGTTTTACTTAGAGTCTTTTAAAAAAAACTTAACTTGAAATATCATAAAAATAATATGTCATACATATTTTTGTACCGTAAAAATGTTTATTTGTGAAGAATGTTAACTAATAAGAACATGCTTTGTTTCTTGCAATATGTTTTGTTTCCATCTATTTTTCCACACCGGCCAGAAGGTAAATAGATAGACTTTAAACATACGAATAATTGTTAACCATTTCATTTATAAAACTCAATACGACCAAAAATTAATTTATATCAATTGTATTTCCATTTATTTGTAAGTATAAAGTTCTTAGTGCGTTAAGCTTTTGTTTGTTAGCATTTATAATAAACTATATGTAAAATTTTTATGTGTATGTATTATATTATTTTATACACGAATAAATAATACCAATACATACAAAAATTTAAATTACATTTAGTTTATCATTAATACAAACCGTGGAAGTTTCGCATTAAGATGACTTATTTTATGTGTCAACTCATAAAGCGCTATCAAACCACGAAGACTTAGGTCTATTTCTATTCTGTTTTACATCAATGTTGAAATTTGTACAATTGGTACAATTGGTACAACATAATATATATTTATGGGATGTATTATTATGTAATAAATTTTGTCCATACATATAGGAATATCAAAATCATGTTGTTATTATTAGATACATTATTACTTATAATCAAAAACTTCTTTCTAAACTATATTTTCAATATCTGAAATGTTTTCTCTATCGATTTAAATGAAAATTCCATTCTTTTTTTTGCATCTTGATAAAGCCACGTGTAATTGACCATGAGAAAATAGAGGTTTTTTCAAGTATAACCCTACATTATCAAAACTTTGACCTTGAGACTTGATTACAGTCATAGCAAATGCTACAACTAATGGGAATTGTTTTCCATATAAAATAAAGGGTAATAATAAAGTATTTTTAGTATTTAATGTGATTTAAGGAATAAAAACTTCATTACCAATTTTTTCTCCAGTAACTATTTCGCCTTCTATGTTATACTCTAACAATTTAGTAATTCGCAGTCGTGTATCGTTACATAATCCGTCTGATATACTCAAATTTCAAATTAACATTACCATTGTACCTATTTTTAATTTAAGTTTATGAGGTAGCAAGCCTTTACGAATATTGTTTAAGATTTCTACGGGAAAATTTATATAAATATTATCATCTAATTTATCAACACCTATACAGGTTGCAGTATCGATGCTGTAATAAGTTTTTGTCTTTCCATTCAATTTACTTAAAATTTTATTGCTTAAAAAAAAGTATATTCATTATGTGAAGTTAGTATTACGTTATTACCAAAACAGTTGTTGTAATTATTAAATATTTTAGTACAGACATCATCTGTTATCCAGGATTTAGGAATGTTAAATGTTTTTATGTCCCCTTCTCCAATTCTTAGCAATAATTTCAAAAATTCTTTATTACTGGAACGAATTTTATTTTTTAATCTTAAAATTTTGAAATACTTCCATAAAACTGATGATTTAATAGTTTGTTCTATTATCGTAGTTCTAATAACGTATTTATGATTGCAAGGATTTGTCGAAAATCTCCTCCTAATACTATTAATATATTACCAAAGCAAAGTTTTGTATTACAAAAGTCTCTCAACGTTCTATCAACGATTTCTAGAGCTGTTTTCGGAATCATAGAAGCCTCGTCCCATATAATTAAATCAACTTTCCTTAATTTTTTTTTTCAGTTTCAAATTCTAAAAATACACTCTCAATATTATCTAAATCTAAAGGTAAACGAAAAGTTCTATGACTGGTCATACCTTTTGGTAGTAATACAGATGCAATTCCTGTCCAAGCCATTGACAAAATATTTTTACCTCTAGAAATAAAGTAATGAATGAGTGTCTTATATAAGTAGGTTTTTCCGGATCCATCAGGACCATCTATGAAATATACTTTTTCATCTTGTTCACAAATAGTTTTAAAAGTTTTTCTTTGATCTTCATTTAAATTTGTGTACATTATATCGAACATTTTTTTACTGAAAGATATTTCCTCAATAATGCAATTTTGTATATAGTGGCTAATGGTTGGTGTTGGTAAGCTAAAAGATTTACATGATTCACCTTCTGATACTCAAATTTGATTAATATATAAAAGAGCCCAATTATCATTATCATTATCGAAGTCTTCCGTAAAATATTTGTTATACTTGTTTCATATTTTATCTCCTTGAAAGTTTTCTGAAATCAAAAACTAAGCAAAAAATTGTCTTTACTGGTATGGAAACATAATCATTTTTGCTTCATTAAAAATATTATTAATTTCAGAATCATGTTCTATTAAACCCATTGCAATTGCAGTATCCCTGAAATTTTTATATGTTATTCCATTATGTTTTTTAACGTCTTCAAACGATGTAGCCCCATGTAATTTATTTAAAATAAGTTTTTAAAAAAGCGTTCATGATCTTTTGGAGATACTATGTTTAATTTACCTATAGCAATATTTTTCAGTGTAACTTTTCTTTTTTCCAAATTTTAAGTTTATTGTCAAAAATGTAATGTTCTGGAATGTTGAAATATTTTAGCGATTTTGCAAAATCATCTACTTTATTTAATTCAAACCAAGCTGTAAGGGGTGTTTGATAATTTTGTATTACGTTTTTAATATTATTTTCTTCAAATATGAGTTTTGGTTCATTTTCAAGATAAACAGCTAAATTTGTAACTGTATGACTTCTACAGCAAATTGGATTTTCTTGAAGTCTCCAAGCTGCTTCCATTGGACTTAAATATTTAGCATCTACGTAATTACTAATTTCATGTAATATTTTTTCATTTAAATCGTTTGATTTTCCTATTTTGATGTACGCTCTGTCACTACCTTTGTGTATGTAGTTATAAATATATTTTAAGCTTTGCGCTATTCCTAAGCTCCGCATTATGATTTATTTATAAAAGGAAAGTATTTAACCGATTTAAAAGTTGGGGGGGTTGGCGCGTGGAGCGCGCAGGGGGACGTCAAATTACATTTGAGTGAGCTCTTCCCTGCTCCCCCTATCTTCACCGCTCCCCCCACTCCCCCGCCCCCCATAAAATACTTATTTATCAAATGTTTTACCATCATAAATGTTAAAAAATATACGCAATTTAGTACCCAAGTCACACCTCGTTTTTAGGGTTTTTTAAGTCACTGATCATAGGTCTCCCTCTGTCTATTCGCTTCTCCTTACTTAATATGTCTCTGAAGTACCATTATTTGTTTAACTTGATTGAACTTTTACATTTTAAATCTATTTCTGGTCTATGTTTACTTTACTTAAGTATAAAATTCTTGATTACCTGAGGACTTTATTAACAAAAAGACAGAATTCAGGAGGAGGTATAATTAAATAGAATAACACAATTAAGCTATTAAAAAAATAATTCATTCTGTTAGCTTAATGTTGTGACATTCCATGTGTCGTTTTAACCCGTCTGTTCTTTTAAAACCTTTTCCACATTTTTCACATATTTATTTTCCCTGGTTCTTATGCATTAACATACGTCTGTTTAAATGTGACGATCTTCAAAGTTACAAATTTTCAAACTACTGAAAAATTTCTTGCTAAACAATATTTTTAATTATTAATTGATTCTCGGATTTAATTTGAATGAAAGTTGTTTTTGAATTCTTACATCTTGATAAAGCAACGTATAACTGTCCGTAAGAGAAT